CAGTGTATCGCCCCCACCACACAGCCAAATGTCTTGGAAATGACGGAATCCTGTCCAGGCTGAAACCTGCTTGCTGCAGCATCTTAGAAGCACCTCTTTCTGACCAGATTATAGCTGTTTCATTTCCCTGGGAGTTACTGTACGTTGACAGGGAGGGCCCAGCGCCCCTTGGGCTGTAACTGATAGCTGAATAAATACACTTCAAGGCTTCCAAAGCAGAATGTGCACAGGAAACAAATTTAGGAAATCCTGTTTCAGTTACAGGAAACGAATCCTGCACCAACTGGTAGAAATTATTCCAGCAGCTCCAAAGTAAAACGAATACTGGTTTCTATGTGTATTCCATAGACTGACCTTGCCTAGACCAGCAACGCTTTATTGATATAGGATTTCAAAGGTAGGACTCTAGACCCAACCAAGCCTACTTGGGATTCCACAGGGATTTAGAAACAGTGCGGCCTTCTGAAACACTCCGCTAGAAGCAGATTCAGCCTCCTGTCCCTGACATGGTGTATTTATATAAACAGATTTGTATTTTGCAGCACACATCTTTTGAAATAAGTTTGGAAGGCTGGCCATAAAATCTTATCAGTGCTTACACTTTTAGTTGGCAGGATTATTGTTTACTTTCTTTTTTTCTTTTCTTATCTATGTTTTCACATATTCTACCATAAACATGAATAACTTTACAATAAAAAAGATTATAGTAAAGAAAGATACCAGTAAGGTAACGCTGACCTTGTGGAGACACCAAAGACCAATGGTACAGGAAAAAAAGTGTGAATCCAACTGCAATTAATGGACAGGAGAAAGTACTAATAATCACTTTAGACAAAAAGGAGCTGAGAAGCAGTGCAAAGCATTCTATGGAAGACCTACCCCCATGGAAAAATCTCCGCCCAGCCCTAAAACAAATATATAAAAGTTCAGTGGGAACCGGGGGTGTAGGACAGGCCTGAAGGGCCTCCTTATATGCATGTCAATTGCCAATTCGAGTATCAGATGCTCAGAGGCAGAACTGCTTATCAAATCACCAGCAACTGGAACTTGTTCAAATTCAAACTGCATCACATACCCATAAGCTCCTGGTTCCCAGCCCACAACCACCAAGAATCTGACCCTTCCAAACATCTCCCATCTACCAGTCAGTGGCACCGTCGTCCCATTTCCAAATGGGGAAACAAGAGCAAACGGACCAACCCCGGTGGAGGGTACTGCGGCTCAGGTCCGAGTGGACCAGCAGGGTCATCTGTAGCTGTCCTCTCCCTCTTCTCTCCTTCTGCACACAGTTCCCAGCTCAGAATCTGGCCAAGGGTTACAAAGTTTGTCCCCCTACAAAGCCTGATTCGAATGTCAGTGGTCCCTGGGGACCTGGGTTCATAGTTCGAGCTGTTCCGCCAACACCGAGCAGACAGGAAAAAGTCACCTCCCCAGGGACAAATTCCATTGCCCAAAATAAAGAGAAAAAAGCTACAGAACATAGAAAGCCACCTCCAGGTGTCCTTTCAGTTCTGGACCCTGGAGGAGATTCTCAATGCGCCACCTCCCAATCACCGCTAAGCACTGGCTCACCAATAGTGTCTTATTCCACACCTTTAAAACATTTCATGGACCAGAGAAGTCCCCCTCTTTCTTCTTAAAATAAACAACAACAAAACATCATTGGAAGTCCTTATAATGTTGGTGAAAGGGTAAAATGGTTATAAATAACAAATAAATAAAATCTGGGTAGCACTCCGGTAATTTACACCACGAGCCTTAAAAATCTTCATTAAATGTGACCCCCAGGATTTACCACCTGCCCACTAAGGGCCTTACAACCACCCTCTGGGGGTCCCCCGTCACAGATGCATGCGGGCACAGCAAGGGCATGCAGCCTGCCCAGCTGTGGAGCTAAGATCGCCAAATTCATGTGCTCCACAGGTGCCGCTCCTGCCACCTCCCTGGGGCCACAGGGACATGGGCTGTTGTCCTGTGTAACACTGACTGACTCCATAGTACCTAGTTAATCACAGGCACTCAAAGCCATCCGCTGAATTGATGAATCCAATCACACCATTTCTAGAAATATCAGGTGTGTTGCAAATGTGTATATATATTGCTGCTAAAACTTAGAAATATCCTGAATTCCAGTAATCTGAGAACAGCTAAAGATGCCAAAGTACACACATATACAATAATTCTAAAAAACTTTTTTAGTAATATTAAAAAAAACTGGGAAACAAGCATGATAAAATTGTAAGTGAAAAAGGTAAAGAGATGAAAAATGGCGTGTTAACCTTCCCGTTCTTTAGGAAAAATATATGAAAAGATTTTGGAAGATTATATATCAAAACGTCCTTAGAGGCTTCTGAAAAATGATTTAGTAAAATGATTGAGTTTGGGCTCTGAAAGCAGATTCTCCAGGTTAAAACTCAGCAGGCTAGTGTCACAAGATTAATTAGCAAGGGGAAAACAGCAACTTTACCCTGAGGAAACTGGGGAGACACCACCTTAACCACAGGATCAAAGGTTTCAAGGTGGGACACACCAGTATCATGTGTCTCCTGATGCTGGGCACCAAGGAGCACAGTACCCAAGGTGCATAACCTAAGTGCATCACGAAAAAGTACTAGAAAGACCTAAACTGACGGATGCTCTATAAAATAATTGGCCTGTATTCTTCAGAGGTGTGAAGACCATGAAAGTCAAGGAAAGCTGAGGAACTGTTCCAGAGAAAAAGAGATTTAAGAGGCATGACAACTGAATGCAATGCGTGTTCCTGGATTGGATCCTGATCTGGGGAAATTTTTTTTTCTTTGGGTTAAAAGTAAGTTAGTGGGACAATGATGATATTTGAGTAAGATCTGTAAGGTAGATAACAGTACTGTATCAATGTTGATTTCCTACTTCTGATAATATCCTTTTCTTTTTAGGAAAAAAGTAAAATATTACACGGTAAAAGAAGATCATGTCTGCGGCTGACTCTTCAAAGGTAAAAGAGAGAAGGATTAAGCATTGGTGCAAAAAATGTTAATATTTGAGTGAAGTTTTGATAAGGGGAATTCTTTGTACTCATTTTACAACTTTTCCATAAATCTGCAATAATTTCAAAACAGAAAAAAAAAATTCAGGTGACTTTAGGCTAAATATTTAACCTCTCTGTTCTTGACTTTTCTTTTCTGTAATAGTGTCTCTTAGTTGCTAGGAAGGTTAAATGAGATAATAGACAGAAAGGACTTCAAATGGGACCTGGTACGTACCAATGCTCGGGAAAACTTAACTTTCATGAGTGAGTCCGCCACTTTCTCTTTATAGTCCTCTGAAACTTCTTAATCCTCTTCACTGAAAAAAAACGTGCTTTCATAATCAGAATGAAAGTTTTCTTTAAGGAAAGAAGGAAGGGAGGGAGGGAGGTGGGGAGAGAAGCTGGAAGGAAAAAAGACCAAAATGTTCACAGACTGATGAAACCTCGATCTGTGTCTGAATTACACTCAGCTCAGGGACAAAGGATACCATACTCCTTTCATGCTGCACAAGTTCTCTGCCTACACATTCACAGAGGGTGTTCCTACCACAGGGCACCCTAAAAGGGTAAGCAATTAATGACTTGCTATAGAAAACATTAAAGACACAAGTGTGCTAGCAGGCCCTATGCTCTTGAACTTAGACTCATATGAATCCTTTTGATTCTAACAAGAAAATATGCTTAGATATAAATGGCAATATACTAGATATAAACAAAATGTGGCTTATTAGACTTCATCAAAATAACAACTATTGTGTTTTAAAGGACATCAAGAAAATAAAAAGATAGCCTTCATAATGGGAGGAAGTATTTGAAAATCATAATCTGGTAGAGACTTTTATCTAGAATACGATATTCTAGTATAATATATAAAGAACTCTTATAACTCAACAAAAAGGCACGTAACATAAAAGCAGCAAAGGATATGAACGGACATTTCTCCAAAGAAGACACACAAATAGCCAACAAGGACATGGAAAGATGCTCAGCCTTATTAGCCATCAGGGCATGCCAATCAAATGAATGAGATCCCACTTCATACTCAGGATGACTAGAATCGAAAGGACTAACAATGACAAGCCTTGGCAAAGACGTGGCGAAACTGGAGTCCTTATACATTCCTGGTGGGAATGTAAAATGATGCAGTCACTTTAAAAAACAGTCTGGCAATTCTAAAAAGGCTAAACATAGAGTTGACATATGACCCAGCATTCTACTTGTAT